GTTGTACGGAAATGGAAGAAAAATCCGAGAGGGAAGAAGTAAAAGAGAGGGTCAACGAGTTGATGTGTGTGTATGAGTGTGTGTTCTAGGTTGCAACCAACCAATAACAAATAAAATCTAAGTTTTAATTGGGTCCAAACCATTAGGACTTAACATATTTGGTCCACATCCAAAGATTAAACTATACAACACCACACAACGTTCAAGGGCAAAATCGTCATTCCACGCTAGCAAAGATAAAATAGATTATATTTCGGGACGGGTTGTCACAAGGGACATGGAGGGAGTCTAGAGGCAAGGGGCAAGAAAGAGAAGAGGGGAATGAAAAAGTACGATTGCTGCTAATGGCTAGGGCTTTGTTGATTTCTAATTCCACAAAAGACTATAGATTTGAATCTTTATATAGATTTCAATCTTTATAAATAGTTTAGTCGTACAATCATATCAAAACAAAACTTGTTCCCAAGTTGGGTTGAGCGAAGCAAAATAAATCATAACTATCATGCATATAAATATATGCGAAAAACTTATTTTTAATTGATGTTTTGTATATTTGAGCTCATGTTTAACTGAAAATAGGTTTGGATATTTAATACCATTATCAACATAATGCGAGTATTTGACTTCTGTATGCCTTTGTGTTCCTTAAATACACTCTCACATAAATGAAAGGAAGGGAGGAGAGAACTGAATTTCGAGCGATAAATATTTATAACTATTTAAATTACAAATTCTTTATAAAATTATTGTGATTACTGAGCACTAATAAACTAGTTCAATATAGCTAGAGACCTATGGCATTTGGATTAATCAAGCTCGACTCCTTAAAGGACTCCTTATAAAAAAAGTTCAAATAGGATATCAAGCATATCAACGTAAAAGTGAAACTTGAGTTTTAGTATATTTTGTTTGTAAAGCTCATGCGTAGAAGAAATGATCGAGTTCAAGTCAAGGCAACTTAATCGTAAATTTGGAGCAGTTTAATAACTATTACATTTCAGTTTTTTTTTTTTTTTTTTTTTTTTTTTAACTGAAAAAAAACTCATTTAGTAACTACTTTTAGTTTCCCAAAAAGAAATGAAAAATTAAAAACTATTTTTCGAGTTTTCTAATTAATAATGTTCTTTTAATTTTTAATTTTCTAATTTTTGAACAAGCTTGAATTTACAAGAAGGATTCTCTAGAGTCTTTATAGACATGTAATAGTAGTACATAATTTGTAATGTAACTAGAAAGTTGTGAAAACACCAAATACAATTATGATTACACTAATGTCTAAATTCAGCAACCACATCAACTGTCATGTTGGCTTCGTGAAACATATGTGTAAACATTATTTGTAAAACTTTGTTCTTGAGGTGAATAGTTTTTCAATAGTAAACTTAATTTTCCAAAAAATTTGCGTCTTGCCATTACTAATGTTAACGAGGAACTATGAATTTCCGTTCATATAAACACGATTGATTCCCAGTTTAAGAAACCGCAACTTCTGCTTTGCAAAAGTGAAGAATAACTCAAGAAAACTAGTTGTCATTAGTGTTGAGATTATGTCACAAAGAAAGTTGAATCAAGCCAAAATTTAAGTTTGGAAAGAAAGCATCCAACTTAAGTACAAGTCATAAAGTTGGGACACAGCTTGGCTTTGACTATCCCTCCTATGTCCTATCCAAAGGTTTGGAATACAAACAATGCATCGAGAGCGTGGGACTTGATTTGGATTTATGGAGCTCCAATATCCGACGGTCTCTCTCTCTCTCTCAACCATGTGTTCCGTCGCCAATTTATTCGCGTGCTTCAATCCCCTCTACTGCCGAATGGGGACGTTCTCTAGATCCTCTCCGAATTCTGTTTGTAAGGATTTCAGAATTTTTTAATTGCATTTGTTCATCATACATTGTGTGACCAGTTTTTAGACATTATTTGTGTTTAATTTTAAATAAATCATTTGTGACCACATAACATATGATGGACAAATACGATTAAAAGATTTCCGAAACCTTCGCAAAAGAGTATCGGAATATTGATCTCTGACGGAATATTAGAATATGTCGTGAACTCTGACGGAATATTGATCTCCTTCTTCGACGAGCCTCGTCGGTCGCCGTCGTCCGCCGCCATCTGAAACTCAAATTTTCGCCGGTTTCTGGAAAACTTTAAAGCTTCATATCTTTCTCGTTTCTTAACCAAAATTCATGAAATTTGTACCAAAATGAAGCTTACAACAAGTAGAACAAAACCTTACAATTTTAGGACTTAAATCCAATAGGATCTTGCCGGAAAACCCGCGATAATTCGCCCACCTTTGCAACTTGTCAAACCCGAGCTTCCTAATGTCCAAAACCTTCCAAAATTCTTCCCTAAGCTTCGAGAAGAAGTTCTAAGGCTCTCTAACACTTTGAAACTCGACAAAACCTCTTCGATCACGATGGATGAACAGTGGACCTCATTGGGGTTTTCTGGTTCTCGAGTAAATGAAGTCTTCACGTCCAACTAACTATATGGATGAGCTCCTGGGCTCACAAGGAACACAAAAACAACCTCATTGATGTCGATCCGTGCATGCAAGGGTTAGAGTGAGAGTTGTCCGTACAGTTGTACGGAAATGGAAGAAAAATTCGAGAGGGAAGAAGTAAAAGAGAGGGTCAACGGGTTGATGTGTGTGTATGAGTGTGTGTTCTAGGTTGCAACCAACCAAAAACAAATAAAATCTAAGTTTTAATTGGGTACAAACCATTAGAACTTAACATATTTGGTCCACATCCAAAGATTAAACTATACAACACCACACAACGTTCAAGGGCAAAATTGTCATTCCACGCTAGCAAAGATAAAATAGATTATATTTCAGGATGGGTTGTCACAAGGGACATGGAGGGAGTCTGAGGCAAGGGACGAGAGAGAGAAGAGGGGAATGAAAAGTACGACTGCTGCTAGTGGCTAGGGCTTTGTTGATTTCTAATTCCACAAAAGACTATAGATTTGAATCTTTATATAGATTTCAATCTTTATAAATAGTTTAGTCGTACAATCATATCAAAACAAAACTTGTTCCCAAGTTGGGTTGAGCGAAGCAAAATAAATCATAACTATCATGCATATAAATATATGTGAAAAACTTATTTTTAATTGATGTTTTGTATATTTGAGCTCTTGTTTAACTGAAAATAGGTTTGGATATTTAATACCATTATCAACATAATGCGAGTATTTGACTTCTGTATGCCTTTGTGTTCCTTAAATACATTCTCACATAAATGAAAGGAAGGGAGGAGAGAACTGAATTTCGAGCGATAAATATTTATAACTATTTAAATTACAAATTCTTTATAAAATTATTGTGATTACTGAGCACTAATAAACTAGTTCAATATAGCTAGAGACCTATTGTCACATCCCGACCCGGGGTGGATCACTTCCCGGGCCCGCTCCACCACCGTAGCACGATATTGTCCGCTTTGGGCTTACCATTCCCTCACGGTTTTGTTTTTGGGAACTCACGAGCAACTTCCCAGTGGGTCACCCATCATGGGATTGCTCTAGCCCCCTTCTCGCTTAACTTCGGAGTTCCTACGGAACCCGAAGCCAGTGAGCTCCCAAAAGGCCTCGTGCTAGGTAGAGATGTGAATATACATTTAAGGATCACTCCCCTGGGCGATGTGGGATGTCACACCTATGGTATTTGGATTAATCAAGCTCGACTCCTTAAAGGACTCCTTATAAAAAAAGTTCAAATAGGATATTAAGCATATCAACGTAAAAGTGAAACTTGAGTTTTAGTATATTTTGTTTGTAAAGCTCATGCGTAGAAGAAATGATCGAGTTCAAGTCAAGGCAACTTAATCGTAAATTTGGAGCAGTTTAATAACTATTACATTTTAGTTTTTAGTTTTTTTTTTTTTTATTTAAACGAAAAAAAACTCATTTAGTAACTACTTTTAGTTTCCCAAAAAGAAAAGAAAAATTAAAAACTATTTTTCGAGTTTTCTAATTAATAATGTTCTTTTAATTTTTAATTTTCTAATTTTTGAACAAGCTTGAATTTACAAGAAGGATTCAATAGAGTCTTTATAGACATGTAATAGTAGTACATAATTTGTAATGTAACTAGAAAGTTGTGAAAACACCAAATACAATTATGATTACACTAATGTCTAAATTCAGCAACCACATCAACTGTCATGTTGGCTTCGTGAAACATATGTGTAAACATTATTTGTAAAACTTTGTTCTTGAGGTGAATAGTTTTTCAATAGTAAACTTAATTTTCCAAAAAAATTGCGTCTTGCCATTACTAATGTTAACGAGGAACTATGAATTTCCGTTCATATAAACACGATTGATTCCCAGTTTAAGAAACCGCAACTTCTGCTTTGCAAAAGTGAAGAATAACTCAAGAAAACTAGTTGTCATTAGTGTTGAGATTATGTCACAAAGAAAGTTGAATCAAGCCAAAATTTAAGTTTGGAAAGAAAGCATCCAACTTAAGTACAAGTCATAAAGTTGGGACACAGCTTGGCTTTGACTATCCCTCCTATGTCCTATCCAAAGGTTTGGAATACAAACAATGCATCGAGAGCGTGGGACTTGATTTGGATTTATGGAGCTCCAATATCCGACGGTCTCTCTCTCTCTCTCAACCATGTGTTCCGTCGCCAATTTATTCGCGTGCTTCAATCCCCTCTACTGCCGAATGGGGACGTTCTCTAGATCCTCTCCGAATTCTGTTTGTAAGGATTTCAGAATTTTTTAATTACATTTGTTCATCATACATTGTGTGACCAGTTTTTAGACATTATTTGTGTTTAATTTTAAATAAATCATTTGTGACCACATAATATATGATGGACAAATACGATTAAAAGATTTCCGAAACCTTCGCAAAAGAGTATCGGAACAGGATGACTGCCCTCCTTATCTCTCTCCCAGACTCTCACTTCGCAATTCTCAACTCTCACTCTCTCTCTCTCTATTAAAACACCAAAATCCCACAAAAATAAAACACCAAAATCCCACAAAAACAACACACGGAGAGGGTTGGACAGACTCAGGCTCGGACAGCACCTATAAAATACAAAGCACCAGAGAGACTCAAGACTGAGAAGGAGTAGAGCAAAACACAGAACAAATCTGCTATCTTTATCATCATCTATCCCATTCCTCTTTTTGTATATTATATTATTTAGAGGTAGAGAGAAAGACAGAGAGAGATCTCCTGTCGTTCTGCATTGCCCACTTTGTAGTGGACGAGGTAATCTCACCAGTTATTTCCCAAATATCCAGAATTCAGGTTTCGAAGATTTTCTCATTGAAGCTTTGAATCCACTCTCTTTTGCCCTTTTGATCCATACCCACAAAATAAAAATTGAAATTGTGAAGGGGGTCTATTCTCTTTTTTATTTTTCTTGAAATTTTGAAGTTTTGCCCTTAATTATTTGTTTGAGGGGTAAGGTTAGGGTTTTTGATAGTGGGTGTTTCCTGTCTTGGTGGAATTTCTAGGGTTTTTGTTGGATCGCAACTGGGTTCTGCTCCAATTCTGCAGTTTTGGACTAATTAGGGTTTGTCCAGTGCAAGGAACTGGTTAGTATTGGGATCATCGCGGCCCCGCATCAAATGACCATAAGTTCCGATCTTTTGGGGAATGGAATTGTGCATTGGGCAGTGCCGGGGTGAGTACATGAACTCTGAGATTGCATAGAATTATGGAAAGTATTGTTTTTCTGAGCATGGAAGAAGATTGTACATATTAAATTCGGTGCAGGAGTGATCAGAGACTTGCCAAATCGGTGTTTTGGAGCAAAAGGGTATCTGGGTTTTCGCTGCTTTTACATGCTTGATCTTCAGCTGGGAATGAATTTGGTTTTAGGATTTGGTAATGAGGACGAGCTGATGATACTGTATTGGCCCATAAGGCGACACAGAGGATTAGATTGTAGTGGACTGTTTTCGTTTCTCAAGAAACCGTTCGGGTTAACTTAGTTTGAACAAAATTCTTAGAAATCTTCTGGAGTAGTTAGTTCATTTGGTTTTTTTGTTGGATTTTAGTTCAGATTTGTGTTCAGTTGTTTACATTGAGGTGGTGCTTGTGTTGAGCCTTGATTTTTCAAGTAAGTTTGGTGTGATATCTGATTTACCTGCCTGCACATCTGTGTGGAAAGGATTAAAGGATTGGTTGAAGTGACTGAGAAGCTAATAGCAGATTTTTTGTGCTGGGAATGAATGCGGGGACATGGTGCATGGACAGGAGCATAGTTGCTGGTTCGTTCCCTTTCTGGAGCAGTGTTACTGGAAACTAATTCAGGAGTTTTCTTCTTTGGAAGATACTGGTTTTTGGTACTGTCAGGCTTTATGCAATGTCGCGCTGCTTTCCATTTCCTCCACCCGGATATGAAAAAAAGGCTAGGACAGATGATGTGGACTTGCTGAAAAAGGTTAAAATTCTCTCCTTTTATTTTTTCATTAATATCTTTTAATTCGTATAGCATTCATTATGGACATGATTTATCGAAAAGATAAAAAAGGTTAAATGAAGTAATCATTTGTTAGGCGCATACAAGTGAATATGATTACTTCCTGCAGTTAACTAGTATGGCTTACTTATCGATATGCAAAGTTTCTGTCTGTCATGCCTGAAAATTGTCAATTAAAATAATGCTGTGGTTTAGGAACACATAAAATTTGTAAATATGGAGTAACTAAAGATATAGGTGCCAGTTAGAGTCCAGTAATTGCTGGGAAAAACTGGTCATTTTGTCCTAATATGTAATCAATTACATTTGTTGGATGCTTTTCTCACCTGTGTGTTGAAGTGAAAATTTATTGGATTAACAACTACTTGTTCAGTTTGTTGGAATATGAGGAGCTAATTGAGAAACATAAAATGTTTTCCACTAATTACCGACTATCAGGTTGATGTGTTTTCTCCCATTCATGTTCGAGTCCTGCTCTTACCAAGAATTTATGGTACCCAAATTTGGATTTGATATCGGGGACAGAGAATAGATGGTGGCGGTTTTCATGGTTTAATCTCAACCTTTGATATCAAATCGAAGGGTTAGTGTCCATCCATTCCTTGGTCACCTGGTGTCCAGGAGAACATTTTCTATTCATGTTCGATGGGGTCATGTTGAATCAGCAATGGTTTACGTTGCTCTATATGCTGGTTTAGTACTCCAAGGCCCTTTTCTTTTCTAGTGTTAGGATGATCATATTGCAACCGCATCTGGATGATATGTTTTGATGTATAAACTGAAGTTATACTGAACAATGCTGATGGGTCTCGCTTAGTTTTGGGATTCCAATACAAGTCACCAGCTAGTCAAACATACCCTCAAGTCATATTCGTCCAGTCCCCGATTTCATCTTATAGGCCTGAATTATTGCTCAAAGTGGAGCCAATACTTGTGACATTATTCAAAGGAGGCCTAGTCTTGCCCAGCATTGATGCATCATGTGCAAAAATAACCTGAAAGTATAGATCATCTATTCCTCGTCATATGATTACATTAAAACTTGGCACACAAACTGTTTTGGGGAGCAAGTGTGAATTTGGTGATATCAAAATTATGCATTTGTTTTTGAGAAGTAATAGGGTTCTGAAAATATTAGGGGAAGGAATCTGAACGAAGCTGAAATGGAGGAATTTCTCTCTTTGTTGCCTTTTATTGAGTATTAGTAGGGGCAAGAAATACGGAGGTGTTTGGTTCTTGCTTTGATTTGTGTGGTCTGGACGGAAAGAAATAAGGGCTTTTGAAGGCTATGGTGGAGTGGGGGCTGAGGAGCTATGGAATAAGGTCCAGTTTTGGTCTGCGCTCTGGGAGTCTATCTGATGAATTTGGACTTATTCCTTTCTCTACTAATTTGATGGGAAGCCCATGGTGTAGGCCTGTTAATTTTTCAGATCTTAGGAGGGGTTTGTCTCCCTCATGCGTTTCTGTTTTCCTTTAGTGGTCCTCTTGACCACTTTTTCATTTGTTGTTCTATTGTCTTTGTTGCAACAAAGTTGTCTTTTTTCCGCAAAAAAGAAAAATTTAGGGTGAGGAAATGGAGAGGTTCTTGGATAGAATTTGTTTTGGGCCTCAGTAGGCTCAAATTTCCTGGATTTTTTAGGAGAATGTTTTTTGTCCTTATTCATGTGGGGTGGAGTTCACAAATATTTCAAATTCTCTCTCTCTCTCTAGCTTAGATTTTTCACTATAATGTTACTATTGGACGTTTTTGTTAGGATTTTGGCTCGTCAAATACTTCCTAGTTGGTTTAGGATTGTTTTTGGAAACCTAGAGGTATACCGATTCTTGTCCTAGAGGGATTATGAAAGAATTTCAATTTCCTTGTTCAATTTAGGTTTGGATTTCTAGAAGTCTATTTGGATTTGGATAATTTTAATTTCCTAATCCACTTAGAAATAGGAGTTCAATCAGCCTTGGGACATGTAAGCCAACCCTATGTCTATAAATAGGGTGCGGCAAGGCTGATTTTTACTGAGAAAGAAAATAGCCAGACAGCCAAGAGTTTTGAGATTAGTTCGAGGGTTTGCAAAAGTTCTGTAATCTCTATTATTAATCAAAGGAGCGATGATTTCTCTACCTAGAGAAATCACAACTGGACGTAGGCAAAAGTTCTGCCAAACCTGTATATTTCTTGTGTGTTTCTAAGTTTTCTAATATTTGCTAGTTTAGTCTATTGCCGTTTGTTGCATCAAAGAACAAGGTCTAGTGTGCGGGGTTTTCAACAGTTTTCTGTATGCTGTAGCTGGTCGGTAGGGGTTTTTATGCATTCTGCTGGGCAGCTTGACACTATATTTTGTACTTAGATCCTGAGCATATCAATAAAATCTTTCCATTTGTCTTAAAAGTAGAACCAAGGAGAGAAAACAAGAACATGAAAAAACTGTCACAAGAATGTGCTCCACAAAGAACTCTAGGATATGTCACATACGTGTTTTCATGTGGGCGTTTGTTTTCTATTTGAGTTTGTATTTTTCTAAGATTGAATACCAGTTTTTGGCATAAAACAATAATTCCCCCAATTGTTTGGTAAGCACAATCTTCTGGTGCAGAAATTTGAATGTCGTCTTAAAGCCTTGGCAGAGATGGGGAGAATGATTGTTGACAGAATTTTAGAGTACAAATTGGCAACTGTACAATTTGAATTTAGCAGACACAGAGTTAAAACATGTAGGATGCTAATTGGGTCTGGCTATAATTACTTTGAATTGTTGCCTGTTTCTTGCTGCTCTTCCTGAATTGTGTTCTTTGAGATCAAACTTAAGCCAAATGTTTTCTGGAGAAAGAACGGACATTTTATTACTTAAGCCTTTTGCAACTTTGATATTTAGATTGAGGGTCACTGTTTAACATTATGCTAGCCTGCCATTACTGTTGGGTTCTGTGATTTTCTTTTAAACCAAAACTTGGAATGATCAGTAATTTTTTTTTATTCTTCTTTACTTTGTGAATTGCGGCCTTTATCATGTTGTACAGTCTTCCTTTCCTTTCTGTTTTCTCATTCCCTATTTACTTGTCTTGATTTCTTCATCCTCCTTTCTTGGTCCCCCCCCCTGGAGTTTTCCTTCTTTAGTAACCATATATATTGTTCATCCTATCTAGTATAATTTGTATCCCTGGTAAATTGCTCTAAATTCTAGTTGCTGCTTGTTATTATCATATGAAGTATGTGTTAACTTGCTGTATAACGTTTAACTGGTTGATGATTGTGTCTGTTTTCTTTCATTTCATATTCAGAGGATAAGGTGTTAGAAACCTTGTCACTGGAGTTTCCTTTAAATCCGATTACCACCTTTTTTTTTTTCTTTGAAGTTCCTTTCTTTGGAATGGCTCACACCATGTCCCTGTTCCTACTCACCCAAGTACAATTGGGACGTTGGAATGGGGACGTGTTGTGATGGTCCACTAAACTGGGAAAACCTAAGAAACTGGGTTTCTTCTTCATTATATTGATCCATAACTGCTTCATATGAAGAGTAAAGAAAGTTAAATATCTAGCACAAGTTAATCCTAAATTAATGTTCAATAGACTTTGCAATTGGTGCCTGTGTTTTATGTGTGCATTTGACAGGGGTGACTTAGGTGTTATGTGATTTTGTAGGAGTTTTGTTTTAAGATTTTTTTTCCGGAAGCGGATTCTGATGAATCACAATAAAATGTTTTCCTTAAAGCAAAGTCCTTATTGGTTGGTTTGTCTATAAGTGGAAAAGGTAGAAAACAGAAGATGAAGAGCAGCTCTGTGGTTGGAGAGTGAAAAAAAAAGAGTATAGGTATATACTCAAAGTAAATGAGAAAAGACAAAAATGAGAAAGGTGTAGGGAAACAGAACAGTTTTTTGGATCGTTGGATGAGCTAGACATTCTTCTTTCATCAATGCTTTTCTCTTGCCTTTACCGGTTGCTTTGAAATTTTGGTTTTTAATTACTCTTTTTTTGTGCTAAATTATTTTTCCACATACAGTACAGCAAATTGACCAATAATCTTCCTTATGCTTTTATGCCTTTCTTTTGGTGATTCTATAGTTCTGACAGCCAATGTCTGATCATTATCGTTTTCTGCTCCTGGTTCACCATTGAAGGGAACTGTTATAAGAATATAAACCTTGTTTTAGAACTTGCAATAAAAAGATATTGCATTACTCACCTAGTGGCCTAACAAGCATTTCGTTTGTCATGATATTTGTTTGGCTCGAGGCCTTCAAAACTGACAGTGTTAGGAAGTTTAAGAACGAGAATTGAAGTCAGGTGGTTTTTGACCATTTTTAAGCTAGAAATTTTTGCATGCGACTTTGAAGGAGATATCCCAAGGTTTCGTGTATTTTTGCTCTAGAATTTTGTTTGTCCTTTTTTTACGCGTACTTATTGAAGAGGAGGCTTTTGAAAGTCCGAAAGGAGCTGCTAGCTTTTGAAGTTTCTGGTCAGGAGTTTCAGGCAAAGAGACAAATCACTATTAATGTTGTTGATGACAAATGGAGTTTTACATTTAATTAGCATGGCATTACTCCCTCATTGTAGTGTGGAGGTGTTGAATGCATATTAAATGAACTTTAATCTCACAAGTTGATTAGCTCTGGCTCCTCTCAGTGTTTGATAATTTGATACTAGTTTAATAGCTATGTTGATCAGTTGAATGCGTTGGGAAGATTTCGCTTTCCATATTTTTAGAATATATGGAGCTCTTTACCTTCTTGTATACGCTCTTTAGGGTTCAGTTTGTGTACTTCCTTGGGCTTGCTTGTAACCCCTTTTTCTTTCTATTGTGTGTTATTGAAATACAGTTTTACTTATAGTGATGTAGTACCATTGCAAAATGCTTGCATTAAATTTAGGGTTAGAAAAGGCACGGATCTTTATTTTTTGTTTGTTGACGAAAGGCAAAGTTCTTTATTATAATAAATCAATGCCAAAAGGCAGTTGATAATGTAACTAAGTCTTTGGACTGCTGGTTCTTTTTATATGGTAGGATAGGAGATGATTGATGACTGGGAGACTGGGGAATATGGATAATTGTAAACTATATTCTGTGGTGGACACTGCGTAGGAAGCTGGCTATGAACCAAAGAAGTTTCCGTGCATTGCACCTATCTTGGTGATAATGGTTTTTTTGATGATCAGTCTTTTATTATTGGTTTGTATTTAAAATGTTCTGATTTTCTTTCTTGGTTGTTTTTCCTGTTTTGTTAGTCTTGAACATTGGTTTTGGGGTGGATTGCCTTTGTATGTCTTATTTCTGCACCATCTTGCTTTTTCCTTCTCCTTCTATTTAAATGTTGAAATTTTGTCTGAGGAAACAATCTTCTTGTGGTTCGCACGTTGCAATGATTTAGTGGGTGGTGGTTCTTGGCATAGTACAATTTGGTGCTTCCGATGCACTAGAGTGACACTGCTTTTTGTACTATTCACAGAATGGTTTTTTGTCTTTTTTTTCCCCCCCCTTCAAAAACTATGTATTTGACTATTTGAAAACTGCGAACATTTCTTATCCCTTCTTCTTTTCTGGTTTTTGGGATCTTTTGAAAAGGAATGTAAGGATCTTTACGGGTCTGGGGTACCTTTTGGAAGGTGGACATATCAGTTGACATCAGGTTTAGTTATGGTTCATTTTCGTGGCATTTCTTGCAAGCAAGTCCTCATTGTCTATTAAATCTTTAATAAACTAACTTGGAACACAGTTCTTCCTCGTAATACTAATAGTACGTATGTCTTATGATTCTTGATCATATATCCTTACCTTTTATCTTTTATAACCTTTCAATAATTACAGGAGAAGCACAGAGAAAAGAAGCATAAGAAGGAAAAGAAGGACAAAGAGAAGAGACAGAGTAAAGAAAAAAGTGATGGAAAGCATCGGGAAAAGAAACACAAGGAAAAAAAGAGAGACAAATGGAAGGATAAGGAGAAGGACAGGGACCTGGTTAAAGACAAAATTAGTACCTCAGATGAGAAGAGAGTTCCAGGAAAAAACGAGGGTCATGGTGAAGAGAGATACATTCAGAAAGAGTACAAAGGCAACTGTATTGACAAGAGAATTACGGGGAAAATTGGAGGTTATCAGGCAGAGAAACTCGGTCAGTACCGTCATCTGGCTGAGCAAAACCAGAATTCTGTATCGGTGGAGTTGGGTACGAGGAGTAAACATGAGGCCAGGGCAAGTGGTAACCATCTGGTTGAGAATATTACTGAATTAGACGGAAACAAGGATGATGGGATGGTCAGATTGCTGACCAAGGGTACTGACATTTTGGCCAAAGTTAAGGAAAAGAACAAGGACAGGAGAGTTGATGACAGAAGGAGAGATGGGCAAGGAGTCAAGGGGGCAGCACAGGTTAGTGGGAACACGATGGTTCAGAACCTTCTTGGTGTGGTTGAACCTAAAGTTGGACTTTCCAGACCATTGGCGAGCAACGTGGATAGAAAGATTGTTGGAAAAGAAAAGACCAAAGAGAAGGAAGGTGGTGACAAACTCAAGGACAAACATAGAGAGAAGAAAAAACAAGGGATAGACAAGGACAAAGATAAAGAGAAGAAAAATGAAGTGAAAGCAAAGGAGAAAATTGAATCTAAGAATGGAGAGCCATATAAAGAGAAGAAAAAGGAAGAGAAAGCAAAGGTGAAAAATGAAACTAAGAATGCAGAGCCAGATAAATTAAGAAAGAGCGATAAAGAGGATCAAATAGATTCCCATAGTGTTATAACCTCCCAGCTTCCAGAGGACAGCAACGAAACTGCTGGTGCTGATGGAAATCTTAAGAAACGAAAGGACATACAGACGAATGGAGTTGTGCATGGTGAGTTCTTTTTTATGACGTTAAGTATCATCGTTGCAGCCCAATCATGCTATGTAGTTGTCAAACACAAGTTGGCCTCTTTTGGCCTGCAACTGAGGGAGGTTTTAGGTCCACTTTGCTATCCTTTCTTTCTTTTGATTCAGAATAATGTTTTTCAGTCTGGTATCAGTTGATTGGCAGTGCTATTGAATCAATTTTGTCTAGCAGGTTCAAACTTTGGTAATTTTTGTTCTTAGTTGACTATTGATGCTTCCCTTTCTCATCTTACAGCCAACGATATTAGGCCCAGTAAACTGTCGAGACCCTCTTCATCCTCTCATCAATTGCCGGTAAATGGAAGAACACTAGGACCTTGCCAAAATTCCATCCCATATGTGTCAGATAGGCTGGTTGCAGCAAATGACATTAAGGTGGACATTAAGGACCGCAAGATAAATGGTAGTGGTGAAGCTCCGTTATTGGCTGTCTCCACTACCAAGCCGACATCTACAGCTACACAGGCTGTTCCTATTGCTGAAGCATGCATGAAACCACCCCATCCGGATTCCAGATATCTAAGCCATGTGTATTTGGTTCCGAAATTGGGTGAAATGCCTGATCATGACGATCAAGATTGGTTGTTTGGGTGCAGTGATGCCCAATTAAAGATACCCAAGGTGGAATCTTCAAAGGTTGAGGAGACACCTAAGGCATGGTCAGAGGTCCTGCGGATAGAATCAGCTGATGTACATGCTCTGCCGTATGTCATTCCATATTGAGCAACTCAAATGGGCATGTTTCAACTCATAACTCTGGTGCGGGCAAACCCTTGATAGGACCACATGAGAGTGAAGCTAGAAAGGCGTCTGGGCACCTTGGATTGTTTTGAGTTTTCTAGCTGCATTCATCTGTGATTGCACTGTTGCAGTGATCATGACTCAACACGTCTCAAACACAAATGTCACTCAAACGTCACCGGACACACTCAACACGTCAGGGCATGCTCCGGGACCGGGCCGGCTATTTGGATTCAAGGGGTGGTTCCCCAACAGCTAATTCATTGAAAACGGAAAGTTGCATAACGCGACCAAGTGAAAGGGGGTTGCGTAGGAAGGGAGATAGATATATATAAGGCTTGTGCATTTTTTGTTGTGATTTGGTTAGGAGCTGATAAGCCCACTCTAACTGAGCGTTTAAGAGAAAACTAGATGTGGTATATTTGCAACTCCGCCACAATTTTGATTTGTAACATAGAACAGCTCCTATTTACATGAAATGTCAGATAGAAGAAGAGTTTACAAGTAGAATTAGTTTCAAAGTTGGTGCACGTGAAATGTAGTAGACTACAGGGCGATAATTTCTACTCAAGGTTCTTTGTGGCCGATTCACATAATTTTGTGCTTATGATTGAAATTGATTGTATTATCAATTATTTTGTAAAGATCATTTCTGTAAAAAAAAATAAAGAGTAAAACAAATGATAATATGAGATTGTTTAGTCTTCTAACGGTAAACAATTGATTGGGACTATAGTGACTCATAATATGATCTTTACAAAGTGATTTATAATATGAACAATTTTGATCATAAGCACGAAATTCTATGAATTGGGCACGAAGATTTTGAGGAGGAATTCCATGAAGAATTTAAAGAATACAATAATATGATGTTTACAAAGTGATTCATAATATGAACAGTTTTGATCATAATCATGAAATTCTGGGAATTGAGCATGAAGAATTTGAGTAGGAATTCCATGAAGAATTTAAAGAGTATAAAATTATTGAAGGGTAGCACAAACGTTTCTTATAAATCAAATTATGAAGTTCTGAAATTTCCCAAATTAATTTTCATTTTTTAACACAACCATATATTTACACCAAGGGGATAGGAGAATAAATTAATTGCGAGCTTGCCGTTTTCGAAATTTGAACTTAAAACCTCTCAATTACAAGTGAAGTTTTAGTGTGATGACCCATCCCGAATGAATATATATTTTATCCTCGAATGTGTGGAAATGACGATTATGCCTTCGAGGCTTAGTGACGTGTTATAGACCGTCCCGAATTATTTTTATCGATGGCGTGGATTGACGATTTTGCCCTTGAACATTGTGTGGTTGTGTATGTAAATGGGCTAAGCTTTTGGACCAATCTATTTTTCTTCCTAACTTTTTGGACCTAATTGGAAGTAAGATTTTGTTGATTTTGTTTGGTTGCCAACTGGACCACTCACACACACACACACATCCAATCCCGTTGACTCTCTCTCTCTCTCCTCCCTCTCGGATTTTTCCATTCGTCCGTACACTCGTACGGTCATCTCCTCAACTCTCGTCATCTCTCATAGATCAAGTTGTTTAAGACCACCATCGTACTCCTTATGACTTCACGAGTTGAGTGGTACCTTTGGGACGACGAACAGTTCACAGGAACTCGAGTTACCCTAACTCCGGTGAAGGGTGATTTTCCGACGTGATTTTGAGACTTAAGAAGGTAATACTCTTGCGTTTCTAGCATGTGGGTTCAATCTTGGAGTGGTTTTGACGTAAGAACACTCGGGTTTATTTAGTTGCAGGGTTTGGTCGGTTTCCTCGAATTTTTCCAGCGAGATTTCATTGGTTTTAGGACCCCAAAGTGGTAAGATTGTGTTCGTCTCGTCCTAAGCTTCATTTTGGTACAAATTTCATGAAATTTGGTTGAGAAATGGCGCAAATATCAAGCTTTGAAAATTTTCCAGTTTCCAATGACATAGAAGGCGGCCGGCGGTGTAGTCTGGCCATCCACCGGAGAAGAAAGGAGAATATTCCATCAACTTTGACTGAATATACTAACGGTGTCAGGAATATTTAACAGTATATTTCATTTTTGGACAGATTATTCCCTAACGCCGTTAGGGTTTCTGTACGTGTGCCAGGCACATGAGGGCGCGTGGGTGGTCGGAAAATTTTTCTAAAAATATGGGGATGTCGTGGTGTTGAGTAGATCACGTTGGTTTATTCAAACACCCCATTTGAGCAATGTATGAGAAGTTATTAGCTAGTTTTGTTTATGTGCTTTAAATTAACGTTTATATAGTTGTTTCGCATATAGGTGAGACCTATCCTCAAGACGAGTGCAGTCAATCGAGGCTTGGGGGCAAGACCCTTTCACATACCAGTGAGTGGGCTTTTGGTTTTCCGTATATACCTATATACTTGAGAGTTTTCCCAGAAAATCGATTTAAATGAAATTATATTTAGAAATGCCATTCATATTGATTTATACGTAGATCATTGACTTAATATGGTATGCATAAATGTGATTTGACGCTGTGGACGCTCAGGTAAGTACCAGGTGAGTTGTAAATTGTTTATGTAAATTGATGATTATGTGCGATGTGTTGAGAGCTCATAAACCTGCACCCCGGTGTTAGTGCTCCCGCCCGTGGTTAGGGCACAGTCCTTCACGTGATATTCACCTCCTGCACCATACGCTCACCTTGGATCCAAGTTAGGTACACAGTCCTATCGTACAAACCACTATAGGTGGTTTCGACTCGTAGGTGACCCGCGATTATTCGCACAGTCTTCACGTGATCGTAGCACTTGAGCGTATTTGTTTACACCTAGTCCCGTCGTACAGACCACTTTAGGTGGTTTTGACTCGTGTGTAGGTATATTTGTTGAGATATGGATTTGAGCCATACAGGTCACGTTAGGTGACTCCGGCTAACATATCATTTGCATTGATTTATATCACCTGGCTTACATAATTTTATGCTGAGATATTTGACATGGCATATTTATGAATTTAGCTATTCTGAGCATGGTTGTGGTATAGATATGTACTCTATTTTGTGGGAAATTATATAGGTTTTATGGCTAGGGGTTACTATCTTTGATAATTGAAATGGTTTTGAAAAGCTTTGTTTTTGCCCACTCACACTTTTTGTTTTGCACCCCTCAAGGTTCTAGTTAAGAGTGCTTTTGGTGGCTTGCAAGGAATCCACGGCAGCTCTGACAGATTATCACCATTGTAGGATTACCTTTGGTGTTGTATAATTAGTATTCGTCCTGCTGGACTACACTTAGGCTACTTATGCTCTGGTTGTGAATTCACACTTATTTCGTCTTGCACCTTATCTTATCTAGTGCTCTAGTTAGCTGGGTTTTTGTTTATTCGCATTTCTTATATTAATATTGCTTCCGCACTGTGCACTTGGCTACGTCACCTTCACGTGATGACTAGCACGCCCTGATTAGGTCGGGGTGTGTCAATGTGGATATATGTATATAGTGTTAAAGTATTTTTCTTGCTGACGTAACTAAATTTTATGCATCATCACAAGCGTGTTGACGCGAGTTAGGGCCAAATTGGATTCGTAACGGTAGCCAAATTAGGGCCTCATATTTCTTTTTCTTTTGGCAAACCCGTGACTACACACATATACATAGACACGTGCAAGCCCTTCTCGCTCCTCTCTTCTCGATCTTTCCTTCCCTTCCGTACAACTGAGTTCTACAACTTTCAAACACCATCAAAACCTTACAGATCGATCTTGAGAATTTCCTATTTATACTCCTTTTGAGCTCTAGAGTCTGGTGATACCACTTACTAAGCAAGTTGACCCCGAAAACCTTGGATTTCAGAAACTCCGGTGAGGAGTTAAAATGAATCTGACGTGATCGTGGGTCATTTAATTGGTTTTGAGGCTTAAGAAGGTGCTTCCCTAGTTTCCCTAACACTTTGGTGTCATTTTGAAGTGTTTTAGACATCGAGACACGCGGGTTCATTGAGTTGCAGACTTTGTCAGAATTTTGAGGGACTTTTTGACCATTTTCCATCGGATTTAGGACCTCTAAGAGGTAAGGATTTGTTGTCCTTCTTGAGAGCTTTAAATCCATATAAAATTCATGGAATTTGGTTGAGTTTTGAAGAAGATATTGAAGTTTTTCCAGTTTCCGGCGTAACAAACGACGGCCGGCGGTGGCTCTGGCGAGGTATCACTGTTAGTTTTTAGACGGAAATGGGGAAAATCCAGATGATCTGGCCACTGCGGGCAAGGAATGAATCCTTCTCCTTTAAAAGAATCACTGTGCTGAAACTGGGGAGTGTCGAGACAGCGAAAATCGCCATCATCGATCATAATTGGAGGAGAAATCAGTGGATTTGGCACCAAAGGAGGTTATGCGGCTGAAAAGCCAGCACCGCCTTGAGAACCAGGGTCACAATGGAGATGCTCCAAGAGAAGGGCGAACTAAATTTTGAAGGTGGTGAATCTGGCGTCTGAAGTGGTGGTCGAAGTTTGGATTAGCTGAGTAATGGCTTCCAGATTAGCTTCCATGCAGAGAGGCACGATTCGTCAGTAAACATTCAAGAATTGGTGGTGTGGTGGGGTATACAAGAGGGAGACTCATGATCGAGAGGATAATACCAAATGTTAAGGCATAACTCCCAAAATCCCTATCTCAACTTGCTTGTAGCAGATAGCAATGTTGGTGAAGTGGGAAAGAGGAATAGAGAGAGAGAGAAAGAGAGAGAGAGAGAGAGAGAGAGAGAGAGAGAGAGAAGGAGAGAAAGGGTATTTTTGGTAATATTATTTTCTAATTCAATTAACCGTTGGCAGAACAATGCCACAATTGGTTCTTCTACAACCATCCTTCTCACTGTGTCAGTTGCCCACTAACAATAACAACATTAAGCTCAATAATATTCCACTATTATTCTACTCATTATTATAATCGTAACAGAAACCCTAAATGGAAAAACTGTCATTCAATTAAACAAGTTCTAAACTCTAATAAGATCAATCAGCCAAAACCTCCATTCACATTATTCTTAGAAATCCTAAAATTAAACAAAAATACCAAAAAAGATGAAGCAAATATCGATAATGTCCTAATTGTTGCTGAGAAAATTGACGAATATGAAGAGAAGAAAAAAGCAATAAGAATACCGATCTTAGATTTAATATAGAGGTTTTTTGTTTTCTTCCAACTCAATTTTTTGGGAAAGTTTTATCGAACTTTCTAAACAGCCAAACGCGTTGAATCTATTGGATGATGGGGAAGTTGAAGAAAGAGGAGCATACCAATAACCAATTCTCTATGTTTCTATTTTTTTTAAGAGGACAACTGGGTGGCAAGCCATGATTATTCACCCTTCCCGGGGGCCAGGAAAACTCACAGAGGCATTTCAGCCTCCCCTGGCCACAAGTTTGGCTTCCACACTAGCAGCGGGTTTCAAAGCCAAGACCTTTGGTTTTTAATTTGAAGAAAGCCTCACAATCCGCCATTTACCACTGGACCACTAGCTTGTGGTTCAAT